ATGTTCGATATCTGCAACCCCATCAGCCACAATCCAAAGCGTCAACTCCATCTTTACCTCCAATCAACCAAGACAACATGAAGACCCTCTCAGTTGCCCTAACGGCCCTCCTCGCCGTCACCGCCCTGGCATCCCCCGTGGCGTACACATCCACCACATCCACCACGGCAGCCGGAGGAGGAGCGCCCACATTCACCCCCCTCACCCCAGCCGAGATCAAAGACCTGCAAACCGAGCTCCTCCTCGCCGCCTCCTACAAGGACAAAGAAGCCGTCCTCTTCCCCCCCAACAACGGCGGCAGCGCCAACAACGTCTCCTTCCAGTTCGTCAACAACCCCGGCACCCCCCCTCAGGACGGCAGCGTCATCGTCGGCAGCGTTGACTCCATCCCCGGCTTGATCGGCACCAATGTCGCCGCCGCCATCGGCTTCATCGGTCCCTGCGGCCTGAACGTTCCCCACCTGCACCCGCGCGCCAACGAGTTCCTGACCGTCGTCAGCGGCACGCTGATCGGGGCCTTCCTGCTTGAAACCGACGCCCAGTTCGCGGGGGATATTCCGCAGGTAGCGATGACGTTGACGAACTTCACGGTGAGTGATATTCAGACTTCTTTTTTTCCTGTCAATTTCGTCCATTTTTGCTGTCCCGAAAGATTGAAAGAAGGTGTCTGCTTTTGCATCTCAGACATGCGGAAGCCTTCCAAACGGGTGAAGAAACGCTGACACTTGCCACAGGGCATGCTTTTCCCTCAGGGGCATACGCATTGGCAATTCAACCCGACGTGCGAGGAGGCCATCTTCGCGGCTGCGTTTGACGATAATGACGAGGGTCGCTTCCAGGTGGCGCAGACGTTCTTCTCGTCCATGCCGGATGATGTGCTGACGACGTCCTTGGGGAATCCTTCGTTTTTGGGCCCGACGCAGCTCGATCAGCTGCGCGGTTTGATCCCCGAGGCGTTTGTTGTCATGGTGGATGATTGTGCCAAGACTTGCGGGCTTTCCACTGCCTAATTGGAACCCTGGGATATCGTTGGGAAGTGGGGGGAATGGGGTGCTTGGTTGCAGGTGGCTGTTAAGAGGTGTTGTTTTTTGTATCAAACGTGCTTAACAGCTCTTCAAATAGATCGAGGAACTTTTCAAAGGTATTCCGTCACCTGTCAAAGGTGTTTGACGGCTCTTTAAAGGTGTTTGACGGCTCTTTAAAGGTGTTTGACGGCTCTTTAAAGGTGTTTAACATCTTTTTAAAGGTGTTCAGTCACCCTTTGAAGGTGCTCAGTAGCTCCCGTATAGTGTTTAGTGGCTCTCTAGAGGCATTTGATACCTAGGTAGTTCCCTGAGGCCTCAAAGCAGCGAACTGTCAAACTGATTCTTCCCACCGCGTGAACACAGAAGGCAAGAGTGCTTGTTAACATCGTGGATAGTAGGTTAGTCTAGCAGTCACAAATAGTGTAATATAGCTGCTAGGCGCAATGACGTAGTCATTACCCGTTGCGAGGACCTGTCTCGCACACGGCAGTGTAACCTCCAAGTGCCAAGACCTTTTCACACTAGCAGGGGGGGTGCGCTCCACCTGGCCGGCCGTTATTAGTCCGTAGGTTTTCAGCCCACATCCCTAACGCGCTGAAGAACTCCTCCGAGTTACCACCACGCCAGTCCCGTAGAGCAAACCACAGTTTGCGGAAGTCTTTTCCCGCCCGCACGGCGGCCTCGTAGCCTGGGGCTTCGTGGTAGAGCCTCTGCGTGATAAGTCGTTAGTGTCCGTATTGCTTCATTCAATTCGCCTTTACTCGGAGGCCGTGCACGCGGTGGAAGGTATCTCTTCGACAGACATGCCTCAGTGACATCCCCTTAACGGCTCCTGTCCGTGTAAAAAGGCCCGGCTTTTTTTCACAGAGGACCTCGCATGCATACTTCAAGGCATTCGCTGCATTGAAGAATGCCTTACGGGGATGTCATTGAGGTCTGTCCGTTGAAGAAATACCTTCCACACCTGCCCCTTTCTGGAATCCAGCTAGCCCTCTCCTGTGATAGGGCAGGTCGCTGGAGCGGTGGCTCTCCGTGGCTCGTGAGCGTGCACGGCCTCCGAGTAAAGGGGGTATCGGGTATCAAAGACAGGGAGGGAGGACTGATTGGTACCTGAACATAATGATTTGCCCAACCTGCGTATGTCTCAAGGTCGGCTTGCGTCGCTTCTGCTGGCAGCCGCGTGACTGAAGGTCTGCCATCTTCGTCCACAATCAAGTCGACAGGGCTAGCCGCTACCAAAGGATCAGACAGAAGTGCAGGCCATACACAAGCTGTCTCAAAATCGAAGAGGGATGTCACGAGAGGCTCGCCACTCGCCTGTATCGTGGTAGTCGTATTGTGAATACCAAAGTCGCCGTGTTCGATGACAAGCCTGTAGAGAGATTGCTCAGGACTATCGTCTACCGGGAGAAGGTACGGGATCGCTCGCAAAAGAGACTGCTTAGCTGCGAGGGCAGCCGGCCCGACCGTCTCGTTATCGTCCTCCCATCCGATCATCTCGCCCTCTCCCCGGATGGTCGCCTCGATCTTGGCCTCGAGCACATGCATCCAGAACTCTCGCGTTGGCGCCACAGGCATGGTCAAAGACGGGGGCATGAACTCGAACAAGCGCTCCAGTAGATGCTCTGCAGCAAGGTCGTGGGGCGGATTGTACCGGAACAACGCTGCGCGCATGCTCGCAAGCTGTCCCAGGAGGAGGAGCTGGTACGCATCAAAAGTTAGCGCTACCATCGGCGTCGCCAAATCTGCATAAGGTGTTCTTCATACCTTGTGATCGGAACTGAGCTGTGTCCACACATTGGTCGCCCCTTCAGACTTCTCAAAAACAAACAGCCGGCGGCCACTGAGGTCCTGAGGTATGGTGAACTTCGGGCCCGGGTGCTGAACTGGGACTCGGGAATAGAGCAGACGAGAAGACTGGATCAGGGGCTCGGACTGCAACAAATTGTAGACTGCCGTCTCGAAGCGAGCCTCAGAAGCCTGGACCTCGATCGGAAAGCCGTCGAAGCCGGGCATATTTACATCGCCGCGAGCCAAACGAGCAACCAGTTCCCGCGAATCCGAGGTCTGGAGATGAAAGCCCTGAATGCATATGTCAGCAACGATGCAATTTACATCAGCGGATGTAGAATATAATCAGGCGACACCCTTACGTAGTTATTAGAACCTTTGTCGACGAAGGGAATGTCAGCCACCCTCGTGTTCAGCTTGTCCTCGATCTCCCGGATGAGTTGTCGGACGTCCCACACTCCGGCGAACGGGCTCTTGCCATTGAGAGTCAGCTGCATGAGGTTCATGCCGTCATACGGCTTGCCATCGGCATCGGGCATGGAAGGCCAGTCGTCTCGCCAACCCATTCCGAAGCGTCGAAGTATCTGACCGCGATATGTGTAAACAGAGAGATAGGTTGAGGAGTAGACAGGTTTGAGTGTGTTGTGAACTGGAATATTGCTTTGCGCGCCGCCCACAAAACTTACCCCACACCGGTCGGTGTTGGTACCTAGGGCAAGCAGGCTTGGACGATTTTCAAGCCCTCCAGCTCACAAAAGCTCAGATAATTGGTACGCTGTGCCAGAAGCAACATGCGTTCCTTTCCTCCAGTAAAGGCCTAGGCAAGAACGGCAAAGATCTAGCAATCCTTCCTACCTATCAAGCTCTTTACCGGATTCCATTTGCTGTCGCAAGCTAGGTATGGCTTTTCAGACTGGCTTCTTCGACTCAAGGAACGCCGTAAGCATGTACCTGCCGAGTGACCAACCTGCCAGCACCACAGATGGCATCGTCATCAAGGTTGCCGGGCCTAGCTGGGCAAAACACACAACGCTTCGCGTCAATCAACTAGGTACCCAGATACTCTTCTTCGGCGTGGGGTTCGGGCTGTGACAAATTGTACACCGTGGTCTCGAAGAGAGCCTCGGGACCCTGAACCTCAATTGGAAAGCTATCGAAGTCGGGGTATTCACATCGCCGCGAGCGAAGGAGAGACTTACCGCAAAGTGGAAGAGATTCTCGGTGGTAGGGATGCGACGGTAGGTAATTAGATGCGGAGCGGCGCCTTCTGGCTCTCAACGGTTGGATCTCTTGCACTGCTCCATACCACCAGGTCACCGCCACGAGGTCGTACGACGACGCTCGGCGGCCTCGTGCGAGTCCTCGGAGCCTCCCCTGGCCCTCTGTATATAATACAGGCTTCGCCCTCTTCTGCGTTCCAGCTCTCTTGCTCCTTCAATCAACTAGTTCAAACCCCATTACCACGTATTTCAGCACCTACTATCCACGATGTCGACTCAATGCTGCCCATGGAGTTTGCTGTCGTGCCACGCGAGTAAGTCCTTCCCCCCTTTTCCAGCTACCTCAGCTTTTGTTCAGGTTCTCACCTTTTCCTCTGGCAGGCAGAGCGTACCAAGATTCAGCCCAGAGTTTGCGGCAGACCTGGCCAGCGTGCTTGCATCAGCGGGTTGCGAGGGGCTCTTTGGCATCGATACCCTCGGCCACGAAGACTGGACTGAGCTGAAGATTGGCAATGCAAGCGTCGTCGTGCCCAGTGACGGCAGCGAGCGCGAAGGAGCCTACATTCCTGTCGCATTTGCCTTTGACAAGACACCCGGCTTCAGAGTTCACGGGAAGTGCGGATCAAACCACAAGCATACTTCTAAACCTCCTCAAAAGTAGGAGCTGAGGTGGCTTTTGCTCTGTTAGTATTCAGCTTTGTTCGCAACTTGCTCTAGGTTCTTTCTTGCTTTGCTTTAGTACTTTCTCGCTAGACACGTACCTATGTCTACCTCTACAGTCACACCTAACACTTTTTTCTAGCGGGCACCAACGACTTGGCCTACAGGATTTCCCATGGATAGGCCGGTCTGCCACGGAGCGCTGATAGTGTACTGCACCTGTTAGCCTGAGGTAGACACATGTATGGAGTAAACTTGAAAAAAAAGAAAAAAAACTGCCCCCTTGTTCCCACTCCAGAGTTGCTGCCACGGGCAGGATTCAAACCTGCATAAGTGCGAAGCTGCCGCGGTATTCCATGCATTACCAATTATGCTACGGTGGCGGAACAACTCTGGTACCTGGAGAGGTAAGAGAGCCTCATGATAAACCACCATCGTTGCCTTGATTCATGCCCCACCGCCCCACCTATCCACCCAGCACTGTCCCGCCAGCCGTCGATTCCTGCAACCAGTTGAAGCCAACACACCAAGACCACCTCTTGATATTTCTTACCGTCGCCAAAGTTTCCCTGCAATCTCCCATCCGCGCCGTCTCAAATTACCTGCCATGGTTCGCAAGAGACGTCACTCGAGCTTCGTTGAAGCTGCTGAGATGGATTCATCTCAGCCACTTGTGGCATCGCCAACAGAGGTGGCGGGCCCAGTGGCCTCGAGCACCACAAGCGAGACGGCTAGCGACGACAACATCCCAAGGCCCCCGAAGAGACCTCGGACAGGAATGATTAGTGAGAATACACCTTTGTGGTGCCCCCAAAGGACATTCCTAGCCTGCCCCAGTGCCACTAACCGTCCGTTTACGTCCTCGTAGTCGTCTTATTTCACAAATTTCCAGGCACGCGCCACCATTCGAGGCGACAGAAAAAATCCGGAATCAGCGCTTCAATATGCGGCGCAGGCTGATTGGCGCCAGGGAATTGATGGCACCCTTCGTGTCTACTTCTCCGACGAAACCCGCGACGACCGAAAGCAACCCCGTCCCTTGATCCAAAATGGCCGCGAAACTGTCTAGTGCGCATACGCGGCGCATGCAGTGGTTTCGAGGTGCTTCGCACCCAACACATCTAGCCACGGGTGCCAAATTGAGAGAGGTTGGTTCGATGGGAACCGGATAACCGACAACAACACATCGGAAGGGATCGCCATAGCAGACGCCCTGCTCCTCGCCCTCTCTGATATTCTAAACAGGCCGCCAAGCCGCCAAGGTAAGCCAGTTACAGTCATCATCTTCACAGACTCAAGGAATATGCTGGACAACAGAAGACTGGGCCAGTACATCATCAGCGGCGGAGCCGGCCTGCATTCGGCACGCGACGTCCAAGGCACATGGTTGCGCGAGAGGCCGGGGCAAGACAGCAATATTTCGTCCGCGATCAGGACAATCCTGGTAGCCTCAGAACGGTAGCGGAGTGGACTCGTATGGTTCTCGGCTGACGAATGCTACCTGCTTGCAGGACCCCTACGCCTGGACCCTGCCGCCCTGTGGGTTGACTATGCCCAATGTGCCCTATCGTACCTGCGTCAGATCAGCTTACTCCACCACGCAACGCGGTGCGAAAAGGGGACGGCTGCCAGGCGCTGTCTGGGCACAGGTTCCTATAGAAAGGGAACCACGCCGGGCAGATGCCAATGTCTGCTCTGCTGTCTTCCATCTGCTATAGTCGCTCGTTACTTTTTTTTCGTCTATATTTTCAGTCTTGAATTGCCACTCGTTCATTGTCTTCTCACCTGCAACCATGCGGTTCCGGCCGTTCGCTATCCTTCTCGGCGGACTGACTTCCACGGCATGCGCCTCAACAGCCGCCAGTCCGCAGGACCAGGAGCTTGAGGCCCGGGGCGGCAGCACCAATGCGTCGATCGACACGCAGACGCAAAAGGGCTTCGAGGTCGTTATTGTGTATGCGACGCCCGACGCCGGATGTCCCGCTAACCCGACCGAGTGTAAAGCCCCCCCCGCCGGGCCCCCTTCTCCGCTCAGCACGGGGAAGCAGAAGCCCCCTTCTCCTGTTGTTAGCCCGGGGAAGAATAATAGCCCGGGCAAAAAGCCGGATTCGACATGGGACCACACCGGCCCTCTGGACACGCTGATGCCAGCGGTGCACTGGAACTGCGACACGATGCCGGCGACCAACGTCATCCCCATCAAGCCCGGCACCGGTTCCAACATGTACTATGGCGTCTCCGACCCCTCCAAGGCCGGATACTTCGCCTTCCTGACCCACTTCTTCACCAAGCCCTCGGTCAACCTCGACCACTGCCATCACGTCAAGACGGTCGAGTACAGCGGCGGCGGCGGCGGCGGCCTGGTGATTGCGTTTCGGTCGCGCGAGGCGTACAACCACGCGGTCAAGACGTGGGTGCTCGAGGACGAGCTCATCCTGATCGCTTTTGTTGCTGGCTGCGGCGACCATGCCAAGGGCGAACGGTGCTTTTTCCGCGTGCGCGCCGCCGACCTGGTCTTCAAAGACGGCGAGCTGGTGGTCATCGCCGGCGGCAAGTCGTGCCGACCCGAGGACGTCACCTCCGGGGGCGAGACGGAGTGGGGATGGTGGAAGCCTCCCAAGCCGCGCCCGCCGCCTCCTGTTGGCGGCCCTGGTACCACGTCGTGCGAGACGGAGACGGCGTCGGGAACTCCCACCGGCCCTTCCCGGTCCTTTAGCTACAGCGTCACGGCGTCTCCATCGGTGTCCTTCTCCTCAGCGTCCTCCTCAGCCTTCTCCTCAGCGTCCTCCTCAGCCTTCTCCTCAGCGTCCTCCTCAGCCTTCTCCTCAGCGTCCTCCTCAGCCTTCTCCTCGGGGTCTTCTTCAGTTGACCCCTCGGGACCATCAGCCTCGGCCTCCTCTTCCTCCGCGTTCTCCTCAGCCTTCTCCTCGGAGTTTTCTTCAGTGTCCCCCTCGGCGTCTTCCTCGGCGCTGCCCCCCACGGAGTCGTCAGCCGTCATCGAGGAGCCGGAGCCGACGTGCATTCCCCCTGCCGATACCAAGTATGGCCTCCCTACCGCCTGCCTGGGTCCCGACTTCGACTACGACCTGGACGAGCACCACGGCTGGACGGACCTGCCCCAAGAGTACGTCGAATTCATCCAGACGCTGGCCCCTGAGATCCACGATGACGGGGTCCCGTCGGATGGTTCCGAATACGACGACTACGACTGGCTGCGGCGTCGCGCCCTGGTTCGCACCCCCAACCCCAACTCCAACGGCACGCATCGCAGCACGCTGAGACGTCGCGCCACGTGCGTCTTGCCCTTCCTCTGCATCGACGGCAACACGGTGAGGGCGGCCGGCAAGGTGGTCGACGACATCAAAAAGGCCGGGCGCATCGAGGGCAGCATCAACACGGACATCAAGTTCGAGATCCCGAACCTGGTCGATCCCAACTCCCCCGCCAACCGGATCAAGGATCTGTCGGCCAAGCAGATCGAATCGCCGTGGGGCCGATCGGTGCTGCTCAAGGCCTTTGGCACGCCCGAGGACCAGCGGCTGGGCGCGCACCTCAACATTTTTTGCGTCGACTGCGGCGTGACGGGGTCGGCCAAGCTCGCCGGCAAGGTCAAGTGGTCGACCTTTGAGGGCTTCAAGTTCACCGAGGGCCACATCAAGGTCACCGTGGACGCCAAGCTCGCGCTCAAGCTGGGCGTCGACGCGCAGATCAAGCTGGAGCAAACGTTCCAGACCAGCCTGTTTGACTTGGGCCTGCCGGGGCTGTCGTGGGGCGTGGCCACCATCGGACCCATGGTCTCGGTGGGCGCAAAGGTGACGCTCGAGGCCGCCGCCAACGGCCGGCTGCTGGTGGGCGCCGAGATGGGGCTGCAGAGCGCCGAGGTCAACTTTGACGTCGTGGACCACAGCAAGACGCGCAGCCAGAACTGGACCCCGTACTTCACGCCCGTGCTGCAGGCCGAGGGCGAGCTCATGCTGAGCGCGTCCCTGGGGCTGCCCATCGGCCTCAAGTGCGGCATCAAGATTGCCTCGTTCGACAAGAGCCTCGGCATCATCGACGAGCCGAGCATCAAGGGCGTGGCCCAGATCGCCGCCAGCATCGGGCTCGAAAACGGAACCACGTTTAAGGGGGGGCTCAGCTCGGCCAACGGCTGCCAGGGCATCAGCTGCCAGGTCTCGTGGCAGAATCGGGTCTACGTCAACGTCTTTGACCTAGCGGAAATCTCCCTCTTTGACACCAAGGACCAGCCCATTGCCCAAAAGTGCATCCAGATTGGCGCATCATCAGCGGCGTCTGAGCGGCAGCAGGCCAAGAGGTATCCAGCACTGGACGGGCGGCAGGCCAGCGACACGACGACGACATCATCGGTTGCTTCTTCTCCTTCTTCTTCTTCTGCCAGCACTGGCCCCACCAGCACCGCCACAACCAAGATCATTGATGTGACCAACAAAATCAAGAGCGGCAACGCCTCGTCCATCGTCTCGTACGAAATCGGTAGCATCCCGTACCGCCCGTACAACGATTCGGCGGGCTTCGAGTACTCGATGCTGGTCTCCTCCTCCCATGGCAGCAGCACGGGCATGCTGGTGTCGTGCTCCAACGGCAACGTCTACGGCGCGGAATTCGACGAATCCGCCGAAAACACGGGCTGCAGCGAGCTGTGGATGAGCCGCGGCGGCGACGACATCCTCGTGGCCGACGGCGCCCAGCGTCTGCTGCACTACGACAAGGACGCCATGACCGCCACGGGCGTCAGCCGCCTGCGCTCCGAGGACGAGACCGACCTCCCCGTCGGCGCCGCCATCGTGGCCCTGGTGCGCTCCGATCTTGGGTCTGACGTTGCGGACCCGGACTATTTTTACGCCGCCGTTGACCCCGACGGGAATATTTTTTACCTCGTCTTGTGCAACTACGACGACGAGACGAAGGGGTCTAGGCTGTTTTTGGCTAACCACCCCGACAACGGCATCGAGACGCTCCTGAGTTCTGATCTTAAGTACTCTGTCACGGGCGGCAACGTCACCGAGTGCGGCCCCTTTTTGCTGCAGGCGGCTGTGTTTGATGAGGAAGATGACTATGTTGGGTATGATGGCGGTGATGAGAACTGGGAGGAGTGGGAGTTGGAGGAGGGGTGGTGGGAGGAGGAGTAGGAGTAATACTATGTGTAGTAATTAGGGGGTTTGTATGGTAATAACTAAATCTATGTACATGGTAGTAAATTCCACCTTGTTTCCTTGTTTTTGTGTCATCTTTATTCTGTTGTGCAAATTGTTTATTGCGACGTTCCTTGTAGCCGAAGGCGCTCCCTCCTCAGGCGCCTGTCGGATTTAAAAGAGAAGATAATTATTATATATATAATTAAGTTCAACAGACAGCCAACCAA